AGAAATGATCACGTGTTGGGCACGTGATACCATCTAAAAAAATGATACGTGCTCACTTCTATCAAAAAACTTGATGGATTATGTGATTAGGAACCAAAGTTATACAAATTGAATACTTTAGGGATCAAATTAATAAAATTAATACAATGAGGACTAAATTGACAAAAAATACTTACTTTAGGGACTAAAATTACTATTAACCCTTTTCAAATTAATGGGTATGGATAAGCACTGATTATTTAATAACCAACTTGATCAATAGATTAGTGGGTGTTTTAATCCTCATGAACAAGCTTCATTTTTATTATAAATATTGGTGTTAGTTAAAATACCTGAAACCTCAGGAACTTGGAGTAGACTCTTCACAGAAAACCTTCTTTGGACATAATTCCAATATCTTTTGCCCTCACTCCTTTCATCTTCCATAAACCTCTCCAACAGTATTTGAAACTTTTGAAATCTCCCTGCAACATTATTGTAGAAAACGCCATTGGTAGACCTAGAGGAAGCAAGAGCCTCGACCTTTGTGTATTGGTGATGGAGGGCCTCCCAGGACAAGCATGACTGAGCCACATAAACCATTTCAAAGTCACTTTCCAAGCTTTTTAAAAGCCTTTTCTTAGCCATTTTCTTCCATGGGATATGTGGGATGGACAAATGAACTGCCTCTATGCTCCCAAATGAACTGGGGCTGGTCAATTGCTTGCTCAGGATTGCACCTATATAACAACAACCAATCAAATTGTTAAAAACCAGTCAAGTGGTAACATAAAAAATGTGATAAAATTTTTAGGGTAGAACTTTGGTACCGTACTAAAATTTATAAATAAGTAGGGATTAGTTACAATTTTGTGGGCTCAAATTTATGCTTAAAAAGTTGGGATTGATCCTAGATGGTAAGATCAATCCTAAAAGGTTAGGATCGATATGAAACAACCCCATTGAATCCTAAAACATGCCAGATTAAATTGTAATTTTGGCCTTATTTTGTAGTAACTTGTCGTATGGTACAAAAATTAAGTCTTAATCTTATGTTTATGATGTAATGTGATGAATAAAATACTCACTTATTCCACAAGTTCTGTCGTGATTGAGAACATCAAACCATTTCATCCTTTCAGTGTACTTGTTGTAAAAATCATCCATTTCTTCCCCATTGTTTTCATCATTGGACTCTGGTTCCATGACTGGTGAATTTGAGCTACAAACTGATGGAAAATACACATTCATCTCCACCTCTTCAGTTGATGAAATGTAGCCACTAATGGAGGAAGAAGATCGAGTCATATCCGCGTCGCTGGTGGGTGTACCTGAGCTCAAGCCAGAAGATATATACTCCATCGAACTCTGATCATCACAACTATGAACTTCTGTTTCTTCCATTGCTTGATCTACATGAAGAACTGAACCAACCTTGTAATCAATGCCCTTTTCAAACCCTCTTGTCTGAAGTTCATATACTTCAACCACATGTCTGAAAGCTAAAATCTGATCTTGACTAATCATTTGTGGTTCTTCATACTCCACCACCTCATCTAAAACTTCAGTACTGGCTATTTTAGTGATGAATGACTTAATAAAGATGATCCAGCTTCTTAAAAATCTGAAAATGCATGAACCCACGAAAGAAATGATTCTGAAAGGAATAAAGTCAAGAGACACTATGAGTAAAAGCCATCTTTGTAGGGTTTTGAGCCATAGGTAGATCTGACAGAGAAAGAGAAAAAGGGGAAGGATATAGAAGCTCAAATAAAACCACTTAACAAATCCATCTGGGATGAGGAAAGATTCAATGATCATCCAACAAGATGCCAGAAGAGCCATTTTTGAGACTCTCACTCCTTCATAAGTACTATTTTATTTATATAACTGGGATACCCAATTTTCTCAGTGATATATAAGAACATGCAGGGTGGTTAACACTGAAATGTCGAGGAAAGATAAGAATGGAGATCTGCCCTTTGAACAATTATAAAAAATTAGTTGTTTGTGGGTCAATAAGATTTTTGTTAGATATTTTTTTACTTTTCCTTTAAGAATAGCAAAGCTTGGCTTCTAACACACTTTGGGATGGCATCCCTTGACTAGCTAACGCATTAACATTACTATACTAATTTGCTTACGTGGATTCTAGCAACCTAAGGGGCGTGGTGTCTCACTATGTATATGTACTTTTTTATATGATGCTGATATCAATTTTGGTGACCCATTTTGGTGACCCGGGCAGTTGCAAATTTAAATGTTTTGAATTTGAAATTTGAAAATTTTATTTTGAATCCCGGTGATGACTTATTTATTCTTCATAAATTTCTCAGTCCCCGTGTGAATGATTTGATTTTTGCTTTTGATCGGACTGGAGAAGAAATTAATTCAAATGTACATAGACTATCCCGAATACTCCTGATCACAATACCAAAAAAAAGAAAATAGGATAACTCCTAGAGCTCTTATCGATGGAGTCGATTGACACCTCGATGTTGACTCATTACATCTTGGGGTTGAAGAAAGTTCTAAGGTTTCACTTATTTGCCAATTCAAGTGGCACGTAAGTTGAGTTTAGAATATCATGAAACAATTCAATTCTTATTTATCATTGGTGTTTAAGGAAGGATTGCCAGGAGCCAACCCTAAAACGAGAATACTGGTTGGGCCAACCTTTGGTGTACCCGTTGCTATGCCAATAGCAATGCCGCAAAACTAAGTTGGTTTTACTAGCCCAAAAAAAAAAATTTACAACAAATTTCAATACACTTCCAAGAATTTGCCCCATCCACACACCTACTCTACCCTTTAAAATAATGTCAGATAAAATAAGCATACAATAGATAGCACAGGTCCATATATAAAACAAGAAGGAGCTGTCTTTTACATGAAATGCGGTTATGTCATGGCTTGCGTAAGCTGTTCAATTGAAACATTTGTCTTGATGGTTTTCTCGTAATCATATAAGAAAATGAAAGTGTAACTGTCGTGGAAACGTAGGATAGGAAATCTATTCATCGAACAAGCAAAGTGCAAACTAGTGGGGGGGGGGGGGGCAAGGGGGATGAGAAGCTGGGACTGTGAAGAGGGTAATACGTCATTAGCCTTGTCTGCTCTTACATCACACACTCACATGAAGATAATCATGAATTCAGTCAATGGTTTCTACACCTCAACCTTCACTAGTAACAACCCACCTAACCTTAATATTAGAGTTTCTTAATACAGACACCTATCCTGCCCGAGGTATACGTTTGCAATAATGAAACTCAACAGGAATTAATGAGAGCCTGTAGAATCGAAGAATGCTGATTGGACCAAGCGTAAGACTACAGTAAATCAAAAGAGGTATTCCACCAAATGTCATGATTTTTTTAGATAAGTTATAATTAAATGAAGTCAAGTTTCGACAAAATGGTAGGATCAGTGTCGATCAATCCCATTTGATGTTAACTTTTTTAGGGAACATCATTGGATGTAACAATTCACTGAGTTGAATTATACCCTTAAAAAAACACTAATCGGTCAAGATCAGTTGCCAAGGCCGGCTGGATTTCATTGTCATGACGATTTTGTTTTTTTTTTTTGTGTGTTTTTTCTTATTTAATACGTACAAATAGTGCGCATCATAATGTTCTACGTTGAGAAATAAATATTTATGATGAGCCAAAATCTAATTGGATCAGACTCAATAAATCAAGTAAGCTCAAATCAGTTAAAATAATCGGTTAGGTCCGGCTTGTAAAGTCTACCAATTCTAAGGTCCAAGGAGTTCAAGAAAATTAGAACACATGAGAAGCAATTATCGGGATATCCAATTTCAAAGATTAAGACAGTCTTTAATTATATTTATCTTTTGTAGCTATCCTCCCCAAATGACAAAATGACTTTACCCTCACGTCATCGTCACTTCAACTAAGACTCTATGCCTATAAATTGTAAACTCTCTCTATATGAAAAGGGATATCTCTACACACACATAGTTTTTCTCTCTCCTAAATATTGTATCCCTTCTAGAGCTAACAATTGTTCTCTCTCGTTCACCTTACTTTATCAATATAAGTCGTTTTTCAGAGTGGAGTAGGTCATTCAGACCAAACAACTATATATTTGTGTATTGACCCGATATTTATATTATTGTTATTGATTACTCTATTAATTGTTTATTAATTACATTTTATCACACATTTAAATATTGATCTTACATAACACAATTTTGTGCATCACCATCAGGGGCCTAGTCGGGTGTGGATTGGATTGTATCTAAAAGTCTCTCTCTTCCCATCACGAGGAAAAGAGAAGAAAAGGAAGAGAAAGATTAAAGAAGTAATTTATACATTGTTTGCTTTTAGTAATTTGGTACCTCAATTTGTGTTGGTGGTGTCCATGTATTTTGGGTGCATAATGTCACCATCGGCCCCAATCACTATACAAAATATTTATTGTGGAGTAAATACTGAATGTAAGGGTAAACCTTCTTTCTTTACATCAGTCGATTTTTTTTTTTTTGTCTTATGGATATCTAGGTTAGTTTTTGCATATTTTGATTAACTCTCTAGACGATCCGTTCAAAGACAAATCATCAACGCTAAAACTAGGAAATATATAAAGGATAAATCCCCCATGACTTGTCTCAAAAAAAATTATCAAATTTTAAATTCAGAATGTCTAAATTTACAGCTCATCCTTCTCTCAATTGAATTACCCTTAAGATTAGATGAGTCAATTATTAATATGGATGGAGTAGTTAATACTGATGTGGGGTTGACTTAATCACTTATTAATTTAATATAAATTGAATATTGTCCGGTAAAGGTCCGATCCACACCCCTCTAAGGAAGATCATGCCTTCTTGTCCCGTTTGGGAATAGTTGGGGTTAGGGGTTGACAGTTTGTGAGCTTTTTTTCTATTTTGTTTTTTGGGGTGGGGGTAAACTTCTGAAATTAAAAAGCAATACTAAATAATAGCTCTCAATACCCCATTTACAATCAAATCCCTCTTTTTATCAGAATTATAAATGGAGCAAACTGAAGGAATTGGGATCAAAATCTACAATGCAACCCCACAAGATGATGGCCATGTGAGGCCATTACATACCCCTCCGCTCCTCATTCTGTCACTAGGTGGCTGGAAACGACGTGCCGTTGCAAACGGAGTACAGAAGACCTTTTAGAACACTTCTCACATTCGAGATGGTCATTCCCTCCACATACCACAATGGTGAATGCACTCCAGTTAGCACTATGATGATCCACGTCCAATTAGTTTTGTGCTCTCTTTCGTGCTTATTTTTCCACTTCACCGATAGTTTTCACGGTCCGAACGGTAAAGTGTACTATGGTTTTGTGACAAGTCAGAGTTTGGAGGTGTTCAAGCTTGGTGTCACAGTGGAAGTGCCCAAAGAGGAGAGATTTACGCTTAGTTTCACAGACTGTGCATGCAATCATATCGGTGATGGTGTTCATGGCTTATTTTACTTCTATAATTATTCATTAAGAATAAGAATGCTACGTAGAACTTTCAACATTCATTATACTATGAGCTACACGGCACTATTCATTCTATCATTCAATATTAACGGAAAAGAGAAGAGGGTCTAATAAAAGGAGGAAACACTTTTTCTAAAAAATCCATTACCCAACTGCTCTATGTATCAACGCTAGAGATGTCGATAGTTGCAAATCCGTTCCTGTATTTCCGGGCCACGAGAAGGACATGGACGAAGCGATGGAGAGTTTTCCATTAATGACTGGGATTGTTTATAGTGATTTGTTCTTTGTATTTCCTAATACTCGATATGGGATTGGGTGCATGGCTACATGATAAAAAAGGTGGTTTTAAGGCTCGTGTGCATGGCTACATGATTGTAATGCATGTGCCAAGTGCAAGAATTTGTAGGATGCTGTTTGGGTTCCCTAATGATTATTGATTACAACAAATAAATTCACATACTATTCTTATGTGAAGTAGAAAAAACAAATCATAAACCTAGACCTGTAGAAAGAGTGCATATTTGCTCTTACAAAAAGAGAAAAAAGAAAATTTAATTCAAAAATTTAAAAACTTTACTACCTATTGAAACAAGATGTGCAAAACAAGATCCATGGTCAGATTGTGGCAGCAAAAGGGAAAGGAGAAACAATATCATGAAATGCTTAGAGAATTTACCCCATCTAGTGATGACATGAGGAGAAGCAATTGACAAACAAAAGATTCGACATCTTCACGCCACATAACTCTGACAATTAGCAGATTGTGAAACTAAGCATGAACTTCGAATAATGAAAGTTCAGTTAATGCACTTGTAAGAGTATAAAAATGTATTCTCAGCTATATATCACAACAGTTTAGCCACGCATGAGCATTATATTGAATGTTTGAAGCAGTCCTCTAATAACAATAGCTGCAGCAAGAACTCTTAGATGAATAAGTAACAAGGTATAGAAGATTTTAAAGAATCTGTCGATGAAGGAGACAACGAAGTAGTTGTTTAATGACAAAATCATGAGCAGAGGACAAAAAACATTTTCCAGATAATACTCCAAATCCTACAGCAAAGGGCAAAAGTTTCAACCTATAGTGACATAGAAATTCCACCTCCAACCACTGGGCGTAGGATAAACAGGATATTCTCCAAGTGACTTCCAAACAAACGCATAGCAAATAACTACCTATGTTATGTTATAATATCTGATGACAATCAGATTTGACCTTCATTTTGATTCCTCGAAATCTGGGAACACTTCACTTGATATGGACGAACTTCGATAACTGATCAAATTTTGGAGGGCCGGTGAGATTCAATACCACAGAGAAGACGATGAACTAAAGATTAGAAAAATAAGTAGTATAGATAGAAGATGGAAAATAGGAGATGGAAGATAAATGAGTTACAATCGATATCTTCTAATGTCCTATAATAGAATACTTATCTGCTTAAAATAAATAGTTCCTATCAGTTTATGCTCTCGTTTCAGAATACGAAAGATATGAAATCTTTATAGCAAATCAATAACCATAACTAATGAAGAGGGATAAAATTGATATTAGTGTGAAAATTAGGGAAAAAATGTACCGATAGGGAAGTGAATAAGGGTAATGTCGTAATGGAAAGAGCTTGTTGTGAGGACGACGGGAAGCGATTGGTGTCGCCATATACAGAGATGGAGAAGGGATCGCAATGATTATTTTCAGCACAGCGGTAACGTGAGGATCACAATCCTGGGGTAAATGGAAATTTTCAGCAGACATTTCGTTTTTCACTATAACGAACTACGCTTCTGCTCCACAGCTGGCCACTAAAATATTCATCGTTGTCATCTATCGCCAAATTCTAAAACCTCTTTTTAACATATTCTGATATTGCTGTGGTTGGCTTTATCCAACTCTCCGTTGGAAAGGTGAGAGACAGATGAAAGGATATTGCGAGAGGTGTAGCGTCAAAACATTGGTATCCGGAAGGCCTAACGTTGGATCCAAATTCTAACCGGTAATAGATGCATTCCATGGACAGTGAATATAAGGAAGAAATTGAGATTATTGTAGTATAAGATTGATTAAAGGTTAAAATTAATTATTAAAGTTCAAATGGAAATAATTAAATGTTAATTTTATGTACATAATTAATTTAAGAAGATGAAAGGATATGAGTAGATTATGCAGTTAATTGAAGAAAATAAAAATAAATAAGAGAATATGATTGACTTTATAACAATGATCAAGGACAAAATAGTCAAACAAAAGTTTTTCACTTTTTTTGACACTTTAAAATAGTATAGTATATAGATTTCTCCTCATTTAAAGACTCATCTTTTTTTCTTCCTCCTTTAGACATGAATTGTCGAACTCAAACTTGAACAAGTTATTTAAAGTTCAACGTCAAGAGTCAGTGTTGAACCCAAATAATTTTGTGAGCGAACAATCTTAGTCTAAACAGACTGATTCTCAATTCAATCTGGTTCATTTGGATCCCTAGCTAGAGTACAGGGACTTTGTGACGATCAATGAAACACATTGCAAGCTTAAGTGGGGGAAATGACTTTTGCTGTATTATGAGAAGTTCCACAAATATCTAGAAAGAAACATTTTTTTCACAATATAGAAACTTGTTAAAGAATTTTGAGAAATATAGAGAAATTTAGTGAGGCAAGGAAAACTCTAGTACATAATAAATATTAAGATATATCATATAAGAATTCTACAAGATATTTGACTAAGAATTCTACGAGATAGTCCATCATCCCCAAACCCACCCCCATCCCCTCCCAAAACCAACCACCATCCCTTACCAAAATCACCATCAAACCATCACCACCACCACCCTTTGCCACCCATCCCATACTCACCAACATAGCACTGCCTCTTTCCCTCTATCAGTAATCCATAGCACAACACCAAAATACCTAGAACACGCAAGTCTTGTACGACTACAAACCCTAACCTCGAGCCAATTTTAATATTTGCTCTCGACTCTCGCAAGATTTGAATGATTGTACGACCACCAATCACGTCTCCAATATTTGTAGTATGGAAAAACAAACGGATAGTAAACTCTTTTGAAATTGATTCATTCATTGGCATGGGAAGGTACGGAAGAATGGACACATAAGTCGATATAGCATCACCCCTATCGAAGCCCTCAGCCGCGAGGTCACTTGTAAAAGAGCATCCTAAACTAGCCATGTCTCCAGCAATCTAATAAAAATTTAAAATTAGTTACAAAAAATCCAATGTATAATATGGGTATACTTGAAAATAGTTTAGGAAAACATTTACCTGAATCATTTGATCATCTGCCTTGGGATTTTCCCTGGAAACTATGCGGATATTAGGTGTACCAATTATCCCAATTAGGCAAGCCAACATGAGAAGTTGGCATGAGGAGTCGAGTAATCAATAAGCAAGGAGATGAATCTCTCTCAAATTTCTCGTTGCAAGCATTGTTGCTTCGATGGTTGGTGAGATAGTGTCTTCAAATCCTTAGACTTTTAATTGAGTTTCAAATTAGTTCTTACATTAAAATTCACTAAATTATTGTGAAGGAATGACCTTTCGTGATCAATATATAATTTGGATGAAATGGTATATTTGTCCGATGAATTTTTTTTTCATGTAGGCAAAAAAATCTTATTATATTTCTTCTGATTTTGAGAAAAAGAAGATAACAAATCGGAAAAGAAAGCTAAAGTGAGAATTTGAGATAAGAAATAGGTAGAAAGAAAGAGAGAAATAACAACATCTTTGAAACAATTTTTTTCTAGACAAATCTTGTGATGTTCTTCTATTCGAACTAATTAATAGATAAAAGGCATAATTATTTTATGGGTAAATTACATATAAAAATCTCTGGAGGTTTCTCACTAATATAGATGAACCCCCTCAAGTATGAAATATAGCACCGCCACTCCCTGAAGTTTGATATGTTGTAACATATAACCCCTTGGTGTTAAAGTCCGTTTGAATCTCGTTAAATCTCAATAATATCAGCATATTCTTCTAACAAAATTCCTAAAATACTCTTGAATTATCCATCATTAATTCAATAGATGTCTACAAAACCCAAATTTTTTGAGTTCCCAACAAAATCTCACATAGTTGCGTTGTTTTCCTTCATCGCCTCTCCTATCTTTCCCTCCCTCCCTCTCTCTCTCTCTTTGCAATAACCTCCACCACCAACACTCGCATCTAGCCCCCTATTTACCCTTTTTGCACCCCTACGCTCCTCCACCTCCACCTCCACCTCCATAATCCTCTGCCATCGCCGCCACCACACCATCCATTACGTATACGCAATGTCACCTACCACTACCATCTCTCACAGACACTCACCCCATAAACAACCCAAGGCACAATCTCCGCCATGGATGAACCATGGAAGCATCGTTATGTGCCCTACTCACTACCACCATCAATTACATCATCTATTTATACACTGAGTAAATCAACCAACTACATGCATCCTACAAATTGAATTACAAGTAAGAATAAATATTCTAACAGATTCTTATAACTATTTATGTTACTATACTCATGTTACTAATTCAATACTCCAGTAATCAAGAATTCAACGTAGATTACACAATCTCACTGAACACATGACATTCATATTACTATATTAACACAAACACATCAGTGTTACAATAGTTTCATTCATAGTAACACGAATGTTACTGCATGTTACTATATTCATGTTACTAATTCAATACTCTAGCAATCAAGAAGTTAACATAGATTATACAAACTCACCCAACACAGACTGTTGAAAAAGAAACATTTATAATTTATTTTCTCCATCAGTATTTCATCCCAACAATCAATCACCTGAGTAATAACACGATTTTATTAAATAACAAATATTCAAGTATTCCATAATTTCTTTAAATTGTAAGACGCATGGTACATTACATTGTTGTGCAGATCTTCACCATCCATAAATTTCAACACATCATCAACATCAATGATATTTTCATACTTTTTTTTACTCCATAAAATTGTCATTTAATTAAAAACAGTACATGTTAATAAAATAGAGTATAAACATTAATATTTATAAGGTATTTCATAATGGTCATTAAGTTATTTACTTTTTTTCTTCAACCTTATGCATTTGAACTAATTTGTTGTACACATTCAGTCCTAATTTCTTGCAGGCTTTCCATCTTCGAGTTTCAACTCTCTTACTTTTTAGCTTCTCATTTGACATTATAATATCCAAATCATCAACATCGATGCAGTTGTCTGGTATCTTCCCCTTCCTTTTAATTTTATCAACATGATCCTGGCTTTCAACTTGTTTCAAAATTTTCTTTTCTCCCTTTTTTTTCCTACTATACTCATAATCTTCATCTCTCTTTTTTTTTTCTTTCTTTCCCTTTGATTTTTCTCACCATCGATATTTGTTCTTCACCTTCGGTGGGTTGAGGTTTTGGCGGAGACCATGGGTACGTCTTAGTAACTGCATGCACGACCATATCAACTACAAACATCATGCAAATAATTGTTCTCTTATTCTAATTCAGACACCTTTGATGTTGGTGTTTTAATTTGATCTTCGTGTATTTTTTTGTTTTTCTCCAGAAGATCAACTAAAACTTTTAATTCTGAAATCTGGTTGTCTCTGTCAACAAGTTTCATCGCATAATCTTCAATCTCTTTCAAATCTTCCTCCCTTTGGTTTCCACGCATATTCTTGATGACCGTTCGAAGTACTTTGTTCTCCATAGTCAGCAATTGGATAGTAAATTTTTGTACCTCATTTTCAATAATCAATCCAGACACACCTTCATTGTTATGCAAAGGTTGTTACAATTTTTCCTCACGTGTTACCACTTTATCTAGTTCCATAAATGCTGATTCTCGAATGATCACATCAACAAATGCATCAAACAGTTAGACGTTTTGAGTCTCCTTTTGGACAAGATGATCATTTGTAAGAACATGTAATATATCATCATTTTCATGGACATCTTCATTAACCACAAATATGATCATTAGCAACTAGATTAGGTTCATCACCTGCATATTCCAATTCTGTATTTAAAGTACTCTTGCTGACAATAGTGCTTTGCTGTGGAGCCTCCAAACTAGCTGGCACATTCTTGAAAATTTTTCGATTTGCTTTCATTAAACTCTTCTCACCAAGTGTTTTCTTAAGTTTCCTTCGAAAAATTTGACAACTTGATTAGTATCGTGAAAAATATGTACCCAATAAATGCTCACCTCAATTGAATCAAATGACTGTGAATTACACAGTAACATCCACAGTAACATTAATTGCACAGTAACATTCACTGTAATATCCACAGTAACAACAATTTTTTATAGTAACATTGATCACAAAATTAACATTGTCATAAAATTAACCAATTGTCAAAATTAATATAAATACGATAAACCAAATTTTTATAATGCCTGATATCTGTGATGTCGAACAGTGTGTTTTGTGCGAGAGACGTCCAAAGTTTTCTTAAATCTCATTTCATCCACCGTGGGAAAGCATTCACCTTGTCGGCCACAACAAGAGATATGTATTCACATATCCAACACTGCAAATTAGATTTAGTTACATTAGTTAGAACAAATAATGTTTAATAATTATAAAAAATAATTCATTAAAATTAGCAATAAAAAACTTACAGGTAACAATAGTACACAACCAGTTACTGCACTCGATGTGTCAATCTTCAACCTTATAGAATTAATCATTGCATCAATTGTTGCTTGACACCAATCATATCTTTTGATTCATCCAAATTTTCACTGTTTGAGAGATACACTCATCCAATTGTTTGCCCCATATTTGTAATCAGTAATGTCACTAAGATATATAAAGAGAATAACCTAGCAAATCTTCACAATATTCTATACCATCACCTACTGCAGCATCCTCCAACCTATTTTCTATAATTGATGCATTCAATCTTTAGGTATTATTGAATCTCCTCATTACAAATGATGACATTTTCTTTGCACTTTGGGGGAAAAAATTGAATCCACACTATCTTCTATACCAAAAATGAGGGATACATTAGTCTTACGTATCTTTAAATTTTTTTCACCAATTCTAAATCTGGATGTTTCAACATCAAACGTGGTAATTATATCCACAATACCTTTTTCATTTTTCTTGAACCATTCTTTATCCACTTCAAATGTTGATATTGTGTGAAACAAATACCAAAATGGTGTTCTCTTCAACTGTTCTTTGTGAACATTTTTTATGTTTAGGTCACTAATAACCTTCACCATTGACAGCAAGTTAGACTTGGATTTGGTAAAATGAAGATGTTTTTAGAGTATTAGATTTACCTTTGATTGCCATCACCCTGTAACATGACATTGAATATCTGAATATCATATAATAACATGGCACAAATTCACCTAACCTAATGGATATACAACAATTAGCAAAAAATATGTGCAAATGTAACATTAACAGTAACACCAAAGTTGTTGAAACACACATAGAAATATGATCTTAATAACATGATCATAGAAACACTAATTAATAAATTGAATCCCAGAAACATCGTTGTAGTAACATCAACTAAACATAATTCAGTAATTTCAATTGTCATTATACAGTTGTTTCTATTGGAAAGCCATTGAGTCCCCATATTACAATTTTTAGAATGTAAATAACAATGTTCAAAGTGGGTGTTTTGTTCATGCTTGGTACAACATTATGGGGATGTATGTTTTTCGGATTGATTAATTAGTGCTATCTCTTGATATTTACTGTTGTTTTCTATTTTTTCTGCTTAAGGATATGTGACTTGCGGTTGTTATGCTAGACAGTTGATATTTACCTGGCTTATCTACTGATTTACCTGGGTTATCACCTATATTGGCTTTGTTTTTTTGTGTTATATAGTGACTACAAATAGACAGATAGGAGCCTAAACCGGAGCGACTTGTATATGAAGGATAGTTTTGAACGCCTCAAAACTTTACGAAACAGTCCTGTTGTACTTCAATTTTGCTTCAACTCATGAAATCTATCTCCTATCCAGATGCTGATGAATCCAGCAGTAATTTCCACCGTCCGTTGCTTAGCAAATATATCAAAGCTACGAATAATGTGGCAAAAATTATATGAGTTTCTTATTTTTATTTTATTTTGATTATTTTTAGAATTAGAATACCTAGTTTCCTGTTTCATCTCAACTTTAGATTTCAATTCTTTAGGTCTCTTGTAAATAGCTTATCAGCCCCAAGGCTCAAAGAATTACAATATTTTGAGGGTCTTTTGGATCTTGATTGAGAATTCAAGGTTGGTTAGTTAAGTCTCATCTGATTTATATTCTTTGTTAGTGTTTTGATTGTCTTACTTTCGGAATTTACGGTTTTGTGTTTGTAATTACGCA